CCTTCTGGCTCTTCATTCGATGTTGGTGAAAATAATGTCACATGTTCAGCAACTGATAGTGCTAAGAATGAAGGCAGTTGTATGTTCGTTGTTGAAGGTACAGTTTTATCATATGTATGGTGTTGCTTGTGATCTAATATTATATAAACAATGTCAATGTTAGCTACTACAACTTTGATAAATCAATGTCAATATGTTTATTATTATTATTATTATTATTAATATTATTATTATTATTATTATTATTATACTAAAACCTACCTTAAAGGGAACTTAGACAATAAAGAAATTAGAGAACAATAAAAAAAAAAATGGCGTTGAGGGGGAAAATTAAACAAAAGAAATTCCCCTTAAGTCTGATGTGCTTATTATTATTATTATTATTATTATTATTATTATTATTATTATTATTATTATTATTATGTTACTAAAACCTACCTTAAGGGGTACTTAGACAATAAAGAAATTAAAGAACAATTAAAAAAAATGACGTTGAGGGGAAAATAAAGTAAATGGCATTTGTTATTTTTGTATGTCAACTGTTATCAACCAGTCTAGGATTGTTTCTATAATAAAAATGGTTTCCACCTAAGCCTTTGTCTAAATTCTGTACCAAAATAAATTATTAAATTAGGAATTAATTGAGACACATTTCCATACCTTTTGTCTCAAGATGGTCACTATTATTTGTTTTAGCATGCTGTATTTTTGCTAGATGCCATATAGTGCTAAACTGTGAGTATAATAACAATATGATAGTGATTACATAAATATACTTTATCTTTTATGCTATAAATGTAACTGTTGTTTTTTTTCACAAACAGTTTTTGTACTTGAAGAACCAGTTGTGACCTGTATTGGTGGTGTTAGTGCACCTACATCTCCTGGCCAAGCAACAGGAACTGTATTTTGGAGTGAGCCAACAGTAACTGATAATATTGACATGGGCTTGTCAGCTACTTGTACTCCACCTTCTGGTTCATCATTTCCTGTTGGTACCAATACTGCTATGTGTACCGCAACTGACAGTAATGGCAATGTTGGTTCCTGCACAATTACTGTTTTTGTCCGTGGTAAGTTTTGCTCATTTATGAAACCATTTGTAGTATTTAGATTCAGTAGAACCCCTATTCAAAGGACACTTTTTCATGAAATGAAGTATATCTTTTAACACTATGGCCAAACCCCCCTTCCCTACCCCATTAGGGCAATGGGGACACTTTTTGAAATGATTAAATAATCATATTTTCAACCCTTGAATAAAAAGGGACAATATTGTTGTCTTAAGCTGGGAACACGCTGCGCCATACAATTGTTGCATGGCTGTTGACAGGTGAATCCATGTCGAATCTCTGTGAGCGTTTCATACATCAGCTGATAGTTGGTGGTAGTCTGAGTAGATCATCATTAAAAACTTTGCGCACATTTCTTTCTATTTTGTTCTCTGTGGAATCGTGTTTGCCGACAAGTGTCAGATGCAGTGTGTGCCTGCCTTTCAAATTTATATTATAGGTCCACATTATGGGATTTTTTTTTTAATGGTAGGCCTATTGTTCATACCATATCATTTTAATTCATTATTAGTTCCTATGCATGTAATGCAATAGGAACTATTGTAATCACTCTGTCACATTCCTTTTGTTTTTTATTGTGTGTAGTATGTGTGTGCGTATGTGTGTAGACATTTATGCAAATGCGCATGCGTCAAAGAAAAGTTTTCCGACATTTTGTTTTACATCGCGATGCGAAGTTCGATGTGGATT